AAAAAGGAGAGGATTTTTTGTGTGTTTTTATTTTATTACACCATCAGTTATAAACCGAATTATTTATCTGAAAGAAATAACGAAATGATTTAAAAACCAAACTAAAAATTTCGTTTTAGTAGTTTCGTTTTTAAATCAAATAAACTGAAATTGGCATAATTGAAATCTGTTCTTTTGCGGAATATAATGTTGATTTACTACACCACAAGGATATGTAACTATCATTTTATCGATTGTTTGAAAAAATAAATATAATCTTCATTTATGACATGTTAATAAGTTTTTATACCAAACTGTAGGTTGTTGTTATCCCAAATGAAACTTGACATTACCCTTTTCAAATTCTGTCTCTATTTATATAATAATTATGTAGGTATACACCCGCATACATATTAGCCATTATGTCTAATAAATTAAATATTTAATATCCCATACAAGATCTACTAACGTCAAGTACATACACCTTCTAAGAAATCGTTTAGGCTTTGCTCAATATGAATTTCTTAATTAAATTATTTCATTAACATTTTATTAAAACATCCGATGTACTTCTTAATATAAGTATTACGGTATTATTATCTGTGGTTTTATAACATAATATACTGTTTTACGCATATAACATGATGTATGTTTAGTGAGAACAATGGTGTAACGACATCTCATTCAATAAAGTACAAGTTAAATGGTAATGGTGTATTATGGTGTTAATTATCGGTATAAGTGAAACGGTATTCATAGAGAAGAAATAAGGTACAGTCGGGTTAATTGCTTTCAGTTAGTGCTGTAACTGAATTGTCATAAGTGAAGTCGTGAGCAAGAATTAGTCTATATACCTAGTATAATTTACTTAAGATTTTAGCATTCTGTGAATAATTTATGCGGTTAGCAGTGACTCGAGAGCTGGTAAATACTTTGCGCAGAAAGTAAATATGTATCCTAGAGGTATCCCTCTGATGCCAGTATCTCGAGTACACTGACTCTAGAGGAAAAAGATAAAAAGATAATTGTAGATTTTTGTCTGCAAAAAAGAAAGTTTCAATCATAATATTATTTATATGGGGACGGGATTAAGCTCCATCGATTGAAAAAATATCATATAGAATACTTATAAACACAATCGAATCTTAATTGTTTTTGAAATCGCTTATAAGTATGTAATTAAATTAAATTTTACACCTAAAAGAGGAACTCTCCTTTAAATCGAAAAAAATACTGATTTTTGATGAAAATAAAATAGTGACCCTTGATTGTGAATTTTATCGGGAATAAAACTGACAATCTATGTACGAGTACCATTATAATTCTGTAGTATAATGGTGTTAATAATTAAAGTTCTGCGGTCAAGAAAACTTCCTAACTCTGAATATTTTACTCAAATTATTCTTATAGATATTAAATTATTATTATACATTCTATGAAAGAGGTAATAAACTAACGAATGTGTCAAACTTGTGATACCATCGATGATGTACAACATATACTATTAGTGTCGAATAAACACGAAGAAAAGAGAAGAGAATTCATGTGCCACTTTAACTTAAATAAATTTAATATTGGTCTTATTCAATCTATATTAGCTGAACCCAAATCAGAATTTTTTTAACATCTCTAGGGAAAGTAGGTAAAGCTTTATTTGAGAAATCAATTCAGGATACGATAGGACTGATATACCTGAAGATGGTAAAAGCCCTTAAAAAATATTTAAAAAAAAAACAAATAAATAAACTCTCATATTTATTATATAAATAAACTTACTTCTTTACTTATATGAAAATGTTTACAGATATTCAACAGTTTGCAACAATTTATAAATATTGTATGTTAATTTAATAACAATTACGTACTAGCTGAACTGATAAACGTTGTCTTCCCTTGCCCTACCGCTACCTACTGGGTCCAGTTTTTCTTACCTAAATAAATTTCTTATTTCTCAAGTTTGATAAAAAAAATACACATTAATAAAATTCAAATTAATTTAATAAATTAAATCTATTTCGGAGATTAGAGTAAACGAATATCGTGATAGGGGATTTTTATATATTAAGTAATTTTGAAGCCCAAATTACGAATAAGCAATGGATATAAAAATATAAACACTGCATTACAGTAACCTTCAATCTGTGTACGCAAAGGTCAGACATTAAAGAGTGATAAATTCAAATTTGTCCTTTATTTTATATATAGTCGTTAGTTTGTTTGACATTCTAAGTTACATGAAAAAATAATTTTATTTTTTATAATATCAATAAAAATTAAATAAAATACAGATTGTTATAAAGAAAATTATAAACTTGTGTGTCATTTGTGTCGCTGACAAAAAATGCGGTCAGAAACGGGCGCCAAGAGAATGATTGATATCCGACTAGGGCTCCAGATAATCTAAGCTCTTTGAAATGCTGACATCTACTTTACTATGCATTATGCCCGCACGCCCTTCTATGTAATGTTACATTTCTCTAAAATTGCTCACAGGCGTGGCTTCGCTTGCGAGCGATTTAAAGCAACGTCTACGAAAAATGAAAGACAAGGTATTGTTTTTTGAATATATTAAATGAGCACTAAAGCGAAAGATACATACATTTTCGTGATAAATAAAAACACTAGAAAGGACCTGGATTTAGTTATTATGAACAGAAATATCCTGAGTTGTCTGAACGAGTTTCTCGAATTTGAGCTCTATGTACATGTGATATGGTATTAGTACTATAGGCTAATATAACTGTTTACCATAAGACTTGTTATGGATAATTAGGATCTGAGTAGTCGTAATGGTTCTTTATGTAACTTAGAATGACAAACAAGCTGACTGTATATAAACATGAATAGTATCATGAGCATAACCGAGTATACTATGTCGCATATACTTCACGCGTTTCCATTCCTGATAACTAAGGTGTTATGTTTCTGTAACCTGCAATTTCACTGTCATATCCCTTTAAATCCAAACACAACTATGCAAATACAAGTAATCATAGCAAAAATAAAATGTTCGTAATGGTGATCGGTATAAAACATATTTGTTACCACGTTCTCGAAAGAAAATACAAAAATTTGCCACCTGTTGAGCTAGTAAGTAAAAATCTTTCAGATAATAATTTCTATATTTGCTGAACTTTAACTCTCTACTTATCTTTGTGATATAGAGCAAAAAAGCAACCACTTGTTTTAATTGTTACAATCAAATTCTTCACCATTGCCGGCCAAGACGGGTTTTTATGGAAAATGTAATGGCAAATAGGCTGATGATCCTGATGAAAAGTGGTCAACTATAGACGTGAAGTGGTGGATACTGTCACCTATAGACGTAAACGGCATTCTGTGGTGACATTACTCCTCATCAAAGTGCTATACCATGCTATTAAAGTGTCACACACCCCATAATTTCATAGTCATATTTCATATTTCAAACGAAAACACTTCCACATGACTTTTGTATTAAGTATTTCTGGTAAAAAGCGTATGCAAACACTCCGTAAAATTTTCTCTAAACCTTCATCTAAATAGGAATGGAAAAAATTGTTATTATTTAATGAACTAATTAATGAACCAAAATTATATGATATAATGAAATATGGACAATATCGTTAATTTTAATCAAGTGGATTATATATTTTGCGGTTGAGTTTACTCAAATGGAATACAATCGAATGAAATTTATCCAAAGTAGTTCCCTTTGTAGATTTCAATATTAATATTCATTGCACTTGTTACAAATAATAATTAAAATTACAGCAATTATACGACTGAATTTTAATCATTTTATGACAATACGTAAAAATATATCTATAGATAAAATCTGCATTGAACCTTTTAATATAATATAAAAAAAATGAAAAATCTGTCCAGTGGAATTTATTTATTTTATTTAATATTTATATTACTTTATTTAGAGTAAGTATACGCACCCATAGTTGAAATTTATTTTTTCCCCTTGGAACTTCTACTGACAAATTACAGGGTAAGTTGATAAATGTTGGTAGGCATATAACCGTTTTTGTGGTGCTCCCTAAAGGAATGATATATAGGTACTTAGGAAAACTTCGACCGCATTGATCTTTATTGCATTTGACTTACAACTTGTTAATTGATGTTGCTGTCTTTGCGTCTAATATAATTCATAGTAATAAGATTAAAATAGTAGGTGTCCGTACTATATAATAATTTGATATTGCTTTTATATAGAGTATTCAAAAACAGAATTTACTATAAATATTTTTGTTACTTTGTCTATTAAAGACATTAACAGTAACATGAGCATTGATAGTGCCCATTCTGCGATCTACACGGCAGTCCCGGCATAGAATGGACCACCTCTTACTATCCTGTGGGTGTTGTAAGAGGCGACTAAGATAATTTAATGGTCGAGGGATGAGCAGCAGCGTCTCTCTTAAAACAGCATCAAAGCCTAACTGCGGTGGCCAACCCATTCGCTAAGCGTGGCAACTATTGGCAGAACTTCCCTTATGGGGGAAGCCTATGTCCTGCAGATGACAATTAATGGCTGAGCAATACAATGAACATTCATCATAGCACACACTGTTATCCTATGTGCATTGTTATACTTAACGATTAGGGTGTTAAGTCTCGGTAGCCGATTTTTTTATTTCTCATATTATTCCATCCTTCAAATTAAAACATAACCATGTTGACGCAGCTGCTTAACGGCAGAATTAATTAGGTAAGTCGGAAGTCAAATATTAATAATAAAATTTACTACGAACTTTTTTTTTACACAACATAGAGTGGTAAACAAGCTGACGGCACACCTGATGGAAAGTGGTAATCGTCACCTATAGACATGAGCAGTACCATGGACATAACAGAGTATACTGTTTCGCCCATGATACCCCCCATGCGTTGTCGTTTCTGAGGACTCTGGTATTATTCTTCTGTACAAGCTAGTACAACATATTGATAGAAACCCCATAATAGTTTACTATTTCCTAGGTACAAAGATTTAAAAACAAATCATATAAAGATGATGAGTAGAGAATTCTTACCCGACATTGGCACTCCATCACACATACTAGAGCGATGATATGACCTCGATGGTGGATCCAGTCGCATGCGCAGCAAACAACATAAGGCCTAAAAAAGTACTGAAATATTAATATGGATATATAATTCTACAATTAAAATAGAAGTAAATTTAGGTGTACGAGTAACATTTATTAAATTAAAAAAAATGTTTATTAATAAAACTTCCTTGAATATGTCTGTAGATCTTTAGATTATTATATCAATTAAAAGTAGGTTACCAAAAACAATCAAAAGAACTTTTGCTCTGGCAAATATACTTTTAAACGCAAATATGACAGCTCACCTAATGGACAATTGTAACTGTCATATAAGGATGCAAACAACACACCTTATACCATACCAACATACCTATAATAGTCCTCATTTCTCAGAACTAAGACGTTATATCTTCGTAAACTGTAATTTCTCTGTCAAATCCTATTCCTTAAACCGATATGCAGCCCTATAAATAATATTGTAAAGGAATGCTGTCGACTTTTATAATAATACAGAGGGTTGTAGCATACACATAGAGTTGTAGCGTAAGTATGACACTACCAGCCAGTAGCTCGCGAATCGTACATATGGCATATCAAGCTACACTTTAAATCGCTTGTCTTCCTCATACATCTTTCATTGAATACAGGTATATATATATATATATATATATATATATATATATATATATATATATATATATATATATATATATATATATATATATATACAAAATTTTCTACTATAATACAAAATGTTACCCACCTGTTTGAAACCACGTCGATAGCGCGCGTTCATATAACAGTATATGATGGGGTTATAGCACGAGTGCGACATCGCCAGCCAGTGGCTCGCGAACCACACGTACGGCATGCCAGGCCACGCTGCCCAGCTCTCATCGTCCTCGTGGATAGTCCATAACACCTAGTTCAAAAATACATAAATAATGGTGCTGACTCTGAAATTCATTAGTTAAATTCTTGAATTCAAGATATTATTTCATATATAATGACGTATTATCAAAATTTACCTAATAATAATTGAAATATAAAGTCAGTGAAAAATTATAGTTAGTAAAAATTAAAATAATTTAATAATTATTTAATAATTTTTAAAATGTACACAGAAATTGAATTCCCAATCAATGATATTAGAATAGAATATACCAAACTATTTTATTAATATAGACTTTTATAAGCTCTTTTAAATTGCCATACTTTATGATTATAATATAAAACTCAACTTAAATTATGGTTAGGTATATATTTCGGTTAGTTCTAATAGCTGGAAAAGTCACAAAATTTTTTTTCAAATTCATACATATTTACAGAATTTGCGATTGAAACTATTTATTTCAAAACATGCTAACAATTTTATCTGAATCATTACATAGTATAAAACAAAGTCGATTCTATCTGTCTGCCTCTATGTATGCTTAGATCTTTAAGACGGACGTGTATGTATGTAACGGATTTTGAAGTGGTTTTTTTTAATACGAGTAGATACAATGATTCAAGATGGAATAATGTAAGAGATTGCCCTAGCGATAAGATCGCCTTTTGTACCTTTATGTGTATATTTCAATCTGTATTTATGTTACTGTATTTCATTTTAATTATTCACTTGTCATTGTATATTTTTATTTATGGTGCAATAAAGAGTTAAATAATAATAATAATAATGTAGTAAAGAAACACTGATAATTTTAAAGGTTTCTAATGTAATGGGGGGCCGGTGGAGCTATTTAGTATCAGCACTGCACCTGTGCAAAGCCGAGACAGGTCACTAGTAAGTTAATAAAAAGTATACTAAAGAAATTATATTATTCTTTAAATATCGTCTCAATATAAGTATAGAAAAGTTTGTCTCACAAATTAACTCGATCAAGAACAAAGCCTTGTGTAATACGAGTAAGTATTCAAAATAATTAACGACATAATACTTCTCAACAATTTAATATATCCATCGCCCATTTATATATAACTATTAATCAAAATTCTCCCAAAGATCAACAATCAACGCTCTCATCATATATCATCATCATGTTAGGTTTTAACTGTCCTCCATTACGTAGACTTTCTTCATAAAAGGGTTTTTCCAGTAGTTGCCACGTTTGGCAGGCAGGTTGACAACCACAGCTAGGTGACGTTGTATCAATACATAAATTGGTAATAAATTTATTTGAATGGTTTTTTCAATTTTTATATTTATTACGTCGATTTTATTGCTTACATATAAAATATATCTGTGTTATATCGTTACAGAAAAAGGAAAATCGACGACTGGAAGTTAATAGACAAAACAACTGATTTGTTATTTCAATACGATATCTGAAGCTACAGTCTATTATTTCAATAAATCTTTCGTTTATACGATAAATATAGCGTTGGTATATAATGTAGTTACGTATTTCTTTTGTTTGATTTTTCCTTCAGGTCGGATTAGTTGTTTCTTGTTTTCATCTAACTTTATCAGGAATATAATAATAATTTCCCATCTAAAAATAGTAACTTATTAAAAAGTATAATTTTATTTGGTTTCATCATCATCGAATATGAAAATCTTAATCCGCACTACCTATATCGATTGGTTGGGTACCTCTGTCCCATTCATGTTTCAAACGTGAAGCAGTTGTGTTTGCATGGCTGTGTTTCGGTTTGAAGGGTGGGATACGGCGTGAATTTACTGGGTACAGAGGAATAACACCTGAGTCCTCAGGAATGGCAACGCATGGGGGGTATCATGGGCGGAACAGTATACTCTATTATGTCCATGGTATTGCTCATGTCTATAGGCGACGGTTACCACTTTACACCAGGTGGGCCGTCAGCTTGTTTGCCATGCTAAGCTGTATAAAAAAAAAACATAGTTGAAATAAAATTTACTCCCAATCAAAATAATTATTTTTAACTGAATATTAAAATTATTAACCAGAGAAGTGAAAAGCAACGAAAGAATTCTTTTATATAGCAAGTAAACTTTTAAAACTTTTTCGATCAAGTGGTTCTGTGATGGAATAGGACTTTACATCAGCTATTACATTAAGTAGGTTTTAAAGGGTAGGTTTAGAAGAGTTTTTATTTTTTATTTTTGTAAATTAAATTTAGCATACACAGATTATTACATATTTATTAACCGTCCTGGCATAGAACGGGCCAACCCTTCCTTTCTCGTGAGTGTCGTAAGAGGCGACTAAGGGAACTTTATAATTGAGGGATGGGCAGCGGTGTACTTTTTAAAATATCACCAAAGCCTAACTGTGGTTACCAACCTGCCTACCAGGCATGGCAAAATCACTCAAGGGGAAAACCTATATTCAGCAATAGACAGTGGATGCCTGATATCATCAAACCTTTTAGGAAATTTTCGAAAGGAGAAAGTATTCATGCCGACAAAAATAATAAAAAAAAAAAATATTGCGGGTAACATGCATATTAAGAATACTCTTGTATTTGGAAACCTTTTCTATAGTAACTCAAGTATATTATTATATATATCAAGTAAAGTATATCATATTATTTGAAATCTTTATTACATTATTTTATTTATAAAGTTGATACTGTGTTTTATGTAATCTTTTTTTAAGGATGAAAACAAGTCAGTTAGGCCACCGTGACAAATTCGATAGGAATTTACCACGATAGTCTTCAAAAGGGACCATACGGCCTGACAGATATTGCAACTAATGAGACCACGAGTCCCCGTTATTAACAATCCCTTGCCTTCTCTGTAAAGTGTTAAGGCATCTATAGTTGTATTAAATGTGAACCACCCTTTACATTTTGAGGTGAGTTAGCTACGCAACTACATACCTAGTTCGGTCCAACGTATTACGTTTATCTCACCCCGGGATTGTTTCCACGCGATATCTAACTTCAAAAGCTTATCAAAATACCTACTCACCTACATTGTTTTTCTCTTGTGTGATTTATTTTAGGTTATTATTCTTTTTAGGATTTATATTGTGAAATTATATTTAATAAATTGTATATATAATAAGTAATTAATAATAACGTGTACTCGCAATGAATACGTTGAGAGGTAGCCAGCAGACTGTGAAGACTGCAACAACGGTCACCATCATTTTTATCATCTGAAACAAGTAAAATGTATTAGTAAAGCCATTTAGTTTTAATAGCGCTTTACATAAATTAAAATACTTATGAAGTGACGATGATGATACAACAATTAATCATCCACTGCACATAAGCCTCCCCCTTGGGGAATTTTGCCAGTAGCTTCTATGCTTGGCAGGCGGGTTGGCTTTGATAATGTTTTAAGAGGTACGCTACTGCCCATCCCTCGACCATTAAGTTCCTTAGTCACCTCTTATGACACCAACGCGAGAGGAACGGGTGGCATATTCTACGAGTATGCCGAGACCAAACTTAGGAAGAAGGCACTTAGGAAGTATTATATATTAAAAAAAAAATTCCAAATTTTTGTTTATTTCTTTTTTTAGTTTCGTTAGTATTACTAATATTACATTACATATAATTAAAAACTGTTAATAACTATTTATATATCTTCGTCATTTACTCAATTAGTTTAAATATTTATTTGAAGTTCAGTCATGCACACCGAATTTCATTAAAACTCGTTTAAGCTCTGAACGGGTTTGAATGAAATTTAGTACTCAAATCAAACATAATTTATTCTAGATTTAAAATACCGAAGGACTGATATATTTTACCTACTTCAATTTATTTTATTAAATTCAATTCGAATAATATTTTAAATTAAACATAAAAATGATAAACCTACCTTTCTAATATTATTATTAGGTAGTAAAATTGAATTTAAAAAATATATATTTTTACTTAATTTTTTAAACCTTTGTCATCACCATGGGCTAGTAAATGGCTCACTGATCACCAATTCTTAATTAATACATCATCATCAATGATAATTTTACAATAGAGATAATATACTAGCGGCTTGCTTTGGCTGTGCATAGTATCTTTTTTTTATATAATACAGCCCAAGTGGTTCGTTAACAATATAGCTTTATATTAGTAAAAACAAAATTTGACTATCTTTTAAGTTTAAACAGAACGAAAAAAAAAAAACAATAAATTCTTATTTATAATATTAACTTAGAAATAATCTAAAAAAAGATTGTAATCTTTATATTATACTTCTTTAATGTTTTGTAGTAGGTGTATTGTTAAAGTGAAGTATATTTTAAACACCGTATGTATATAATATAAATAAATTATTTTAGGGCTTGTTATTTATATCTAGAGGATGTTGTAAACAATACGTCGGCTCTTTGACTAATTATCTAAATAACGTACCTTCATTGTTTACTATCTGTTTCCCGCTTAGAATAAAATATATATTCTTAGTCTATGGTTCTCCTTTATTCTGCACAACTTCATCCAAGGAATTCAAATAAATCAAAAAGCTATCTAATATGTAGGATAATACGACCACTTACGACACTTTTTTTTTTATTTATCGTCCTACACGGAAACCACTTTGCGTATATCCTCATGATACTATAAATATAAAAGTTTGTAAAGATATTAGACATTTGTTATGCGGTTAAATGTAATTTGGTAGATTGAAGACATTTTAATATTCATTTTTTGTTTATTAAACTTTAATATACCTAGAAAGTGTAAATGGCAGACTAAACACCATATGGCGTTATCTACCAGTCGATCGTAGATAGGAATAACAGAAAATGAATTTGACGGTATAACATAATGAATAATATTAAATTATAACAATAATTCAAAAATAAAATACATATAATACTCATATTATTATTATACCAGAGAGAGAGAGAGACTTTGTACAAAAGTCGTTTGCTTGGGCACGTCTGTCCCATTCGTATTACTACCGCGAAGCAGTTGTGTTTGCATGGCTGTGTTTTGGTGTGAAGGGTGGGATATGACAGTGAATTTACATGGCACAGAGAAATAACACCTGAGTCCTCAGGAATGGCAATGCACGGGGGATATCATGGGTGAAACAGTATACCCTGTTATGTCCATGGTACTGCTCGTGTCTATCATCGCGACGACTACAGTTACCACTTTCCATCAGGTGGGCCGTCAGCTTGTTTGCCATTCTAAGTTGCATAAAAATGATTACCTACATTATACATATATATTACATAAATAATATCGGTCGAAAAATTACTCATATACAAGGAAAACACCGGCATCAGACAAAGCAAAGTATCTAAAACATTTTACGATTATATGGATTCTAAATAAAAACAACACAGTTAATGCTTGAATGCTAAATTGGTTGGGGCAGATTTTGTCAAAGGCAGAAAGCATTCCCAGTGCTTGATAGTCTAATGAATATATAAATTAATTAATTTAAAAAAACAAGTGCGAGTCGGACTTGCAAAAAAAAAAAAACAAACTCGAAATCAACGAAGTTTATAATTTATCTTTACAATTAAATGTTAATTAATGGACTTAGTCTGGGAGATAATATTTCATATGATATTTTAATAGAATTTATCAAGTAAAACTAGTGTGTTTATAACGTACTTTTACCCTGTATAATTGAAGGGGTTTTCCTAATATTATAGTCATAAAGTAATATTTTATAGAGTCAAATACTAAATGTGAAGCAATATAAAAAGTTACGAGAGTCGTCTCGAATATTATTATCATACAGAAAGTACAGCTGTCAGATATAAACAGACGACCTTATTTCATATCACATAATATATTTTAATTATAATGCTAAGTGTAGCTTACTTATAGTTTTATTAAATATATAAGGATACCCCGCAGCATCGCTTGCGCCGTTTTCTTTTTTTATATTGCTAACAAACAGATGTTCTTTTTGATGTAAAGTATTAATCATATACCAGAACACCATAAGCATCACAGAGTTTAACGCTTTGAAGGTCATCCCTTATGCATTTTACACCTGTGGCCGAAATATCTAACTTAATGGTAACTATTCTTGTTTTACCATTTGACAACTGTCAAATAACTGTACCATTTGACAGTTCTAGTAAAATTAGTCAAGTTAGTTAACTAATAACGTATTTAACCAGACCTGTCAAATAGTAATTCCACAGTTACAAAACAGCCAGTTTCAATTTGTTTTAATGAGAATTGATAAGGACCGAGTTATATAATTTATCCGCCGAAAATTACCTTTATAATTAAATTGTTGTGTCAAATGTTATACAAACTATCGTAGATTTTGTGCCAAAACCCAGAAAACCAAATATTTGTTTTTTTTTTTATGTAAGATACATCTGTACTTTTTTTACTTTTGAATAGTGTAATTTGTTAACATAACAGACGTAGATATAAATGCCTATATAATATACGATTCAATAAAAAACTATAAGTAATAAAGGTCACTGGATATTCATTTTTTAAAAATCTAATACATCTATGCACCTATTTACATACTAAAGTAAACGATCAGAACCAAGCACATATTCCTCTTGAAAGAAATGCATAAACACCTGTCGAGTTTGAAATTAATGCAGTTAGTAAGGTGCGGAGTTAATTTTTCTTAGTGCTTGTTAAGACAATTTTATTAATGCAATTTGTGATATAGTAATCTCACATTACAAAAACAAATAACTTTTTATTATTGTTATTATCTTATTATTTGTACACTGTAGCTTTCAATTAAGATTTAAAGTATGCTATTTGCATAACTTACATTTATTTATTAATATTCAAGCTTTCACATTTATTTATTAATGAAACAAATGCTTAACTTCAATTTAACTGAAGCGCAATTTAGTAATGGAACTACCCATCGCAATATACCCCCTCAAAATGATTCGACAAGAATCTTGGTTAATTCTTAATGAATCGATGGGAGATGAGCATCACATTGGGCCAACTATATGAACTAATTTCTTATTACGCCTCGCCTATTGGGACCATTTCATATATATATACAATGATTATAGCCTTCTAAAAAGGTTATACATCAACATATGGAAGTGGGCACTAACTCCTGATACAGATTTTTTCATACCTACCTCTGGAGTTAGGGACTTCACACTATATTGTAACAAAGAGTGAAATAAACATTTACTATTATTATTAGTCGTGACTATTGTGTCGTATATTTCATTGCTTTGATTTTATTATGAAATGTATGTACATATCTGTCATGTTATTGTGATATAGATAATTCAATATTCGTATATTTAACGAATATATACATTACCTTTCTTTTAGAACGTTGCATGCGTGAGTCGCGTACAGTTTGCGCCTCTCCAGGTGGACGGCCGCCCCACACGACGTGCGCTATGCGCGCGTACGTGCATACAAGAGCGCTTAGCGGCAGCACGAACTGAAGCGCAAGCAGCGCGCATGTGTACTGCTCGCTTTGCTCGCGTTCCCACTGTTCGAGGCAAATATCTCTGTGAACATTTTGTAGCATATATAAGTTTTTTAGTTGAGAAAAACTCAGTTTAAGATAGACTTTAATAGTTTTTCAAAGTAACAAATCAGACAGAAAGTTATTTAAAAATCTTCACACGCAACTAAAATATCACTCCATATGCGACAGGTTTGTTATTATTCTTACATTAGCATATTAGACGATTTTATTTCACCCTTATCTACATATAAATACACAGTACCTTAGGCGAGGTGCGTAGATACGACAAGAAATATTACGGCTCAACTCGACTTTATTTCACACGACTACAATCAAAATATAAAGCCCATGTCAAAACAATTTTTAGAAAATAAATAAAATTCCACAAATCTATATACAAATATCTATTGAAACAATCTTACCAACATCAGATTGAATTGATTATTAATGTATATGAAATAGTCAAGATTCTTGATATTTCTACTTTATAATTTTTACAAAACGGATATAAATAAATGGGATTTAGAATAGTCTCGTTCATTGTTGCTATTGTATTGAACGTGTCGTCCAATTTAGTCAGATATATTTCACTGAACATGTTATAATCTAAAATAGCAAGAAGCAAATCAACTGCAATAAACATTTTGTAAATTAGATTAATCTTCATATAAAAAAAAAAGGATTAATGTCTTTGAAAAGAAAATTATGTTAACTTAAAAAGCAATAAAATGTTCAAGAATCTCCATAAATAATATAAAATAAAACCTTTAACGCATGTATTTTTTCAATAGCCCTTCAACTTTGTACATGGCACCCTTGGGGGAAAGGGGACAAACTTACAAGGTGACAGATATAACATTATAAATATTTCTGGTAAGTGTGAGGCGTGGGATTGTACGAACAATACTCGTGCACAAACTCGTAGATGTTTTCGTTGTAACCATAATCTCCATCGTTATGCTAACACGCCCTGTAGATTAACTAAGAAGTGCCGCGTACAAAATTAATGGGCTATACATACACTTACGCTTGGCAGAACCGATGCCAATCCGTGGGTCGCTGCACTTGTGACACTATGGGAATTGGTGCTGCAGTCGCTAGAGCGCCACCCCATACTACTGCCACCACAAATTTGGCGGCTGCTTTCCCAAGCCGCGGTCGCAATGGACGCATAATTGCCATATACCTATCTATAGAGATGGCGAGTAACGTATAAGCACTAACTAGCACTGACACCGCCTGAGAGTAGTTCACCACTTTACACATTACGGCACCGAACGGCCAATATCTTAGTACTAACATGGATACGAAAGAAAACGGAATGCAAAACAGTGTCATCAATATATCACCTACAGCAAGATTCACTATGAAATAATTCGTAACCGTTTTCATGCGGGGTGATGTCTGTACTACAAAACAAACTAGTCCGTTTCCCAAAAGCGCCACAATAAAAACTGTACAATACATCAAATAAACACACGATTGAAATAAAGGTGACGTTAAAAAGTCCCCTGTTTGAACTGCCGCACACACGGAATCGTAATCCGGCCATGTTGAATTTGTGGGAAACGTTTTATTCAAATCCTCTTCACAATTCGACGTACAATTCTGTGGTTCAGTATAAAATGTTGTGGTTTCATAATCATCAAACTTTATTTCGGTGATGTCCAGCATCGTGTGTTAAATTCCGTCATTACATCATCAAAAATGATCGGCCCGCTGTCGATTTATCTGTAACAAGATATAAAGTCTGTTAATAGTTACGGTTAAAATTTATGGGCAATCATATTTTAAAGGATTTTAGCATAAAATCTCTGCACACATCTTTAATGTTTATAAATCCATAATAGTAGTTAATAATGAAAGAGTTTAATCATAAATCATCTAAGGTTGTGGAAATTCGTTCGCACCAGAACGGTACGTTAGCTCTCGCATAAACATTATGAGGTAAAGCAGTCGTAATTTGCCACTATTTATGTGGCCAGCAAACACCTGATATTCGTATTTGCTGTCGAACGTAAACATAACAAGAATAGTCTGTGAATAGTAAGTACGAGTATATCCTGTTGGATCAATAGGTATACAATATTATTTAATTAAAGAAATTCCTATATATATAATAACAAATATTAATAGGTAAGAATCTATATATAACTATAAATGTGATGTCAGAATACAAATTGTCTTTGCTTCTTTTCATCCACGGAATTAATTATTATACTTACTTATAATCCCAGTGCCTAAGATTAAGTAATTGTGTAGAGTAACTAAGCGATGGTTAAGGGAACCAAGCATAATACATCAATAAAAGAGGAGGAAATGTAGTTTTTTGTGGCTGATACCTACTAATGAGACTATAATGGACTGTGAAAGTAAAATAAACATTATATTCTTGTATACCTACATCTTGTTTTAATATAAGTTATAAATGTTTTATAGTTACTATAATTTTCTAATATCAAAGGATATTATACCCCATTAATTGACCTTCGGCATTCGTATTTTTTCTGTAGTTTTATAAAAGTTAATGTTTTCTATCAAAATGTGTCGAACACAATGGTATCGTTGCATATACCTTTGGGAAGCCTTCCAGGCAATAACTGAAAATCAGAGGTTTGCTTATCAAGCAAACAACTAACTGAGCCTTTGTGCATCGTATTCCGTTTTTACATATTATATATATTTTTTTTTGTATATTACCTATATGGGATATAGACATCCTATTAGGATAGAACTAGGGTTTTTGTCACTAAGAAAATCTTTTATAATGTAATAGGCCTTATTTTGTAGAAGCTTTTTTAATTATCTATGATATTTACTAAATTTAGTTTCATTTTTTATATTTGATGGTACTTTATTATAAATTAATACTGATATAACAGCCGTGATTCGTCCCCTGCTGAACATAGACCTCCCCATAGATTGCCACAAGGAAATTTCCTAAACCACCTGCACGCATTGTCTCCCTGCAATGTATTTGAGGTCGTCGCTCCATCTAGTGACGGTCTAAACTTTACTATTTATAATTTATCTAAAACAGTTTAGAGCATTCTGATTCTAACAAAAGACTTATCATAAAACCACAGACAGCAAATAAAGGTTATTAAATGTCTTTGTAAGCGACATACTATATTTAGAAGTCACGTTCTTTGTGACTTTGAGATAGGTACGAGTATAATCCCGAGAATTAAAGAAGTAATTAATAATATTTTCTCTCTTACAAGCTATATCAATATTACTTACTAATCTTCATTGACAACTTCGTCCGTGTGACCCGGATTAAAAATGGCCATGTCCTTCTCCATTTCAATGAATGTCAAATTTTGTGATGGTTTTTTGAACTATTAACAAGCCAAGGCATAACAAATAAACCCACTTTTACATCATATTAATATTATAAAAGTGGAATTAAAAAACTTAGTTAAAGCCCACTACCTATCCTTATAATCACTTAGTCCTACGGATTTCCAGTTTTATGTGTGTTATATATATGTGTATTAATATGGTATATTTGTATGTATTTATGCGTATATATGTATATGTATGTATATATATTTATATGTGTATGTGTATGTATATATATGTATATGTTTGGTTGTATGTGTTTATTTATGTATGTATATGTATATGACTATCCTGTCACAGATATTATTTTTTACAAATCTATCTTTTTTAACGCGCCACCTACCTACTTATGCTTTAATTCTTTCTACCCAAAGGTTGTCTGGAAGAGATTGCTTAGCAATAAGACCGCCTTTTGTACTACACTATACGTATTGAAAATTGTTTTAACAAATCATGTTATGTTGGTGCAATAAAGTGTTAAATAAATAAATAAAAGTTCCTAAATATGTTTATATGTTTTTATTCATTCATAGGCATGAAAAGATTAGAATGAAATTTAGTATATAGGTATATTTTAACTCAGTACATAAAATAGGTCTATTTTGCATAGATACAAATTTATGCAGAGAATGTTTTGATAACTGATTTTTTAATGTAAGATATTTTTATACTTTCAGACTTTCATACGCCCTAACAATAGGCTGAACATTGAATACAGAGAAATTAAGCGACAACCCATAATTTGCTGACAATTTTTTGGGTCGTATTTTGACACTTGCCCCTTTATATATAATACATGCATATTTGAGATCTTATGTTCTAACCTAGCTTACTTAATAACACTACATAAATAGCATCGACAAGGCTCTAAGTAATTTTAAGATTGAGATATGCCCATAAAAATATCTCTTTCGTTAAAGAAAGTAGAAAGTTTTTGTTTTATTTATTCACAACAAAAATACAATGGAACAAATTTAAATCTTTGGTTCCCTACTAATGGGCCGTCTACATAATGTCCCATAATGGGCGACTACAGGCACGCACCAACTAATAATAATATTAATTCAAAATTCTATGCTATTGTGTGATGATTGCCTAGGATCTATAATGGTTGATTATACTTTGATTCCTCGACATATACATGAAACTTAATTTGTTGGTTTGTACCTCAATATCATTACGAAATTAGGCCATGGGGATACATTGTGCTTTTACCATGTACTACAAACGTCTACAGAAAATAAAAGAATTTTCATATTATTACAAAATTTTGCTTCATTTTTTTATAGCTATAAAATTGTGATATACCAAAACAGAAAACATAGTATGTCTTGACTTCCTTCAAAGACGGGCTAACAGAATTGTCGACGATTTTAAGCTCTTAGGCGGTATCAAGCCCTTAAGTGTAAGGCGAAATTTTTCCTCCCTTTGTAACTTCTATTGCTTGTATAACGGATTATGTTCTAAGGAATCGTTTGAAATGATACCTACATCCACATTTTATCATCGCATCGCTCGCCATCATGACAGGAAATTCATCCTCACACGTTAGAACTTAAAAAAAATCACATACAGTGCAGTTTTAAAAGATTTTTTCCCGCGAACGTTTAGGCTATGGAATGAGCTCCATGCCGATGTTTTTCCCCGAGACTACAATATGAGTTTCTTCAAAAAGAGTATATTAAGGTTTCTTCAAGGTCTATAACACGCACGTGACACCCCGAGTATTGCAGGCATTTATATGCTAAAGTAACCGTTTATATAATACACCGAAAATGGAATCGTTAATATTAATATCGGTATAATATAAGACTAACATATTAGTCTTAAACCTTATTTTATTATAAAATTATTTAAAAAAAAACACCACAATAATTTACTTTTTAAGGAAAAATCCAAATCAAAGTCGTAATTCACTCTTATACTTGTCTACATATGATTTAAAAATAAATTACTTATATTATAAAAATTCTTTTACTATTTCACAGCTGCCACTTCCAGATCCTTTTATCAAGATACATGGGCTGACATTATTATAAACTTCTAAAGTGATTTTATTTAGGTGAATTTTGCAAATATAAAAAGTATAATACTCTTCGATCAACGATATCCACTAGACGATTTTGTCGAAACGCCAATAAACCTGATGATTAATTCCCCAATTATAGAATTCTTATTCTTAATATTATATAATATAAGTATAATCTCTACTATGTTTTACTAACTACCTATCTTTGTATAATTTTCATTAGACAATGCTATGCATTTCTATCACAGTATAAGTCCAAGTAATTACACTGTTTTTTTTTACGAAAAGTTTATAAGACTTTATTTATTTGGTATATTTAAAATATAAGTATAATTACTTATTTCAAAAAAAATTTCAACAATTCTTAAAAAAAATCTCAAGAAAATCCCTTATTAATAGCATTTAATAAAATAAACATTTTAACGTTAAATTATTTTAGATAAAATACGACGAAATTTTTTAAAAAATATATCCGTAATTAGCTTTGTTATTAAAAAGTAAACCATAACATAAACCCAATAAGGTTGATAATATCCTCCTAGGAGAAAAGCTAAAAATATCTTGTTAACGGCGTTGGAATGTACATATTAAGGCGGTAAATTTAAGAGTATTTAATAAATAAATTAGCTTATTTAATTTAATCCCGCTAATATTATAAATAATTGCGAAATTTTTAGAGATTAAGATATTGAAAATATAAACTACCCAGTAGTTTTTTAATAGAATGGTAACCGCGCCTGTACTGTCGAAAAACGCTAGCAGAACACCATTGGGAGATAAAAATAATAGTAAAGATGAGATTGAAAGCACATCAGTTATGTCATCGTAATGAATTCAATAAGAATTAATTACGATAGTAATAGTAAGAGAATCTGCTTAGTGGTACACACAATAGGCTATATAGTTAGCAATGGGACTTTTAGACCTCATTACTAACAATCCCATTTTTAATGGATAGTAATAAAATGGTTACCCCGCCTGCTCTATCGATATACACTGGCGGGATACCAGTGAGGGATGATATACAATGAAGTAGGTCAGTTGACCCATAGTGACGAATTCAACAATAAATCAATCACGATGGCTTCCAGGAAGAAACCGTATGGAGGTCGACCTATTAGGGTATATTGCAAGCAATAGGATTGCTAATTTCCATTACTAACAATCCCTTCTCCCCACTTAATAACAATCCCATTCCGCCGCTATAAGTAATTGATAAAATCTACCAACCTGTCTAGACAGATTAAATTATAGTCAGAAACAAATAAGATATTAAGGTGGAATCTTGACTTCGGATAAAGTTACGAACAATCGTCAATTAAACTTTACATAAACTAAGTACGCTTAGTGTCTATCA